TTTTTTTAAAAAAAAAGCCCCCCTTTATTTAAAAAAAAAAAAAAAAAAAAAAAAACTTGCTGTGGGAAACATGGGAGGGGCTTAAAGGCACACTCCAGTACAAAATTGAAAATAAAAGCAGGAGATGAATACAAGGAGAACGCTGCACCTGCTTGGTGAGGTCGTTTTTATATTTTAGCACTTTGACAGTTATCTGACATTGTTACATTAGGCTTCCTGAATGTGTCAGCAAGAAGTCTTCATGGGGAGTGTTTGGGAATTACTCCCCTACTTAACAGGCAGGGGTTCCCAGACCAACATATAACTGACAAACAGGCCCCTCTCTATAATGATGCAGCCTGAGTCGGCATCTCATTGGGAGACAGCCGGTTGGGGAGGCCAAAGCATCTCGGGTTGCTAAGCGCTAATGTCAATCTGTAACGCTCTGTGCGGTGCGTATTTCCGTCCAGCTTACTGACGTCATTGGTTGCCAAGAGCTGTGTGGGACGCTCTGGCTTGCATCCTGCCAAGCTATTTCAATCAGTGACATCAGTGAGCTGGGCTGGACGCCGGACAGAGCCGCTGACAGACGCCCCTCCCCCCACCCTCTTTCGAATGACAAATCAGCCATGCACCCCCCCCTTGACCATTCCCTGACAGCATACACCACGACCCACCTCCTCCCCACCAAGAACCACTGCACTGCACTGTGCTTGGATGAAATACTAAAGCCCACAGCAGGATAGCAGTTGTAAACCTGATCAATAAAATCTCATCAAAGCTTTTTAACGTCATTTCAAAAGTCAGTTGCAATATTTTAATATCTGCAGCTTTCATTAAAATAATCTCTGGCGATCCTACTATGATGGTCCTTGTTCAGGCACTTCCTGTTATAGGGTGACACCGCTGCTACAAGCAGCCTCTTCAACACACATTAAACAGACATGGGCCACTGCTGTGACCATCAGGACACTGGCCCTGGGAAATACCATGCAACCACCGCTGGGGTACAAGTAGGGATGCACCGATACCGATACAAGGATCAGTGCCAATGCTGAGTATTTGAGCGATTACTCATTCTTGCCCAAATGCTCCGATACCTTCCCTGATACCGGTATGGCATCATGCCTCTGCCCCTGGGAGTCACCCCTGTGGCTGTTAAGCTTGGAATGCCTCATGGGACTTGTAGTTCCCCAACAGTTAATCAGCCTAATCCTGATCTACTCACTCCGGATCTTCTTCTGCCACTTCATCTCGTTATAGAGGTCCTCCGTCTGCTGGAAGAAGTCGTTAATCTTGCTGCCCTGCTCGTCCCTCTCGGTGGTGTTGAACACCCGATGCATGGACTCTTTGGTGAGATACTCGCAGATGTTCGGCACGGAGAACACGATCTGCTCCATGGTGCGATCATGGCGGACAATCTGAAGAAGAAACGTAAACTGACTGTGAGCTTTATTGTCATAGAGGAACTCTAGACCCTTGGTTCTCAACTGGTGGGTCCCGGACCCGTGTTCAGGGGGTCGCCACATGCCTTCCATTTTTTTAGGCGAGAGGCTCCTCTGCCTCCCCCTAGCGCAGCTCTGTCAGTTCTCACGCCGAGCAGCCATTCAAACTATGCTGCCCGGTGCCAAGTGTCAGCTTGAGGTGGGGTGGGCTAGGGTTATGGCTGCGAGGGAGCTCCATCCATACGGGCATTGCTTACAGCACCCTTGCGTGTCCTGTAGAGGTGCCTGGACCAGCGTGATGTCACATTTTGGCTCCTGGCACCTCTACAGGTGATGCACATATGGATGGCCCTCCGTCACAGCGCATTCTGATGTGGGAGGTGTGTTGCATTGCCATACATCTGAATGGCATCCCAAATACATCTCCCACCCACAGTTCTATCGCCCGCATCGGAACGCACGGTACCACATGCCATGCGTTACATTGCAGTTCAACTTGGGTCGCGACTAAATGACCAAGGACTAATGTGTGTCCTGAGGTCACACAGGTTGAGAACCACTGCTCTAGACGAAGCATCATAGACTTCAGTTGTGTTGTAATTGGCCCCGTCTATAGGGGCTGTTCATAAAGATGGTAGAATGACAGCTTTTAACGACACCACGTATTATGTAGCTACTATAGAGTCTTCCAGCTGTGTAAATCAACTTCACTGTCCCTATTGTATAAACTATTCCGAATACCAAAGTAACCTTTGAACTCTTAACATAAACCCAAAAATAAAGCCTCAACCCCCCAATACCTAACCCTTAAAGGGCATGTAAACCCGAACTATGAACTCCTCTTATTTGCTTCCTTTTGGTCGATTGAATATACCATTAAAAGCGTTTTGTTATATCTGTAGATCCTGTCATTAATTCAGAGCAGTCTTGTGTCCATTTCCTGTGTTATCTCAAAGAGTCCACCCAGGACTTATCATGGACTACAGAATGATTAGTCTTTACGTTGAAGAGATCTGAGAGTGGGAGTGGTTTAGTTTTGTTAGCAGAAAACACTGAGCAGGGCTGACACCACTCAATCCACAAAATACGTCAGCCCAACATAGGGCTTAAGAGCCGAGTGCATTTCTGGAAGATCACCAGGTATTTTTCTTTACTTGCAGAGTCTTTAAAGAGATAAACATGGGGGAATGTGCATGGGTTGCAGAGATGTACTGCATATGTTTTATTTTTCTTGAACCCCTTCCTGCATAGCTTGGCCAGAACCATAAAGTGTACCCTAAACCCACAAACAACAAAGTCATATATTACCAGTGCGTAGATCAGGCTTTTTTCCCTTTATTTTCACCTGGTAATCCGGCCAATAACACACTTCCTGTCCCTGGGTGGCTACATTTACTCCTCTATTGTATCTATGGAGGAAGCCATGGTGGTCACGCAAGCTGGTCTTCAAACATGTCTGATGAGATTAGTATTTTACACAAGATAGAAAAGGCTATTTATGCTTCCAGGTCCACAAAAGCAAGTGATAAGGACACGGCATCTCTCCCACGATCGATCAACAGATATTTTCTGTGCTTGCTCAAAATATATTTTTATAGTATTATAATTTACAGAAAATAGATCGGAAAGTTGATAAAATTAAATGAGAGAAGTTCAGTGTACAGGAAGTTAATGTTCTTAGAAAACGAATGCAGACATCACATCTGAGCACTGGTAAGCTGCGATATATTATATTTTGTCCTTGGGATTAGCTCCCCTTTAATCCTGACCAACAACATAACTCATAAGCAAGCTAACCATATAGGCCAGGGGTGGGCAACTTCAGCCATCAAGCTGTTGTGGAACTACAAGTCCCATGAGCCAATGCAAGACTCTGACAGCCATAGGCATGACTCCCAGAGACAGAGGCATGGTGGGATTTGTAGTTAAAACACAGCTGGAGGGCCGGAGTTTCCCTCCCCTGATTTAGGCTAATGTATTGCCCTTCATTGCTGGAGTTCAGAAATGCTAAATACAGGCTGAATCCTTTTAAAGCAGGTATGAGAGAAACACATGAATGCAACTCTGCAATAATTAAGACTCCCTTATGTATTTTTTAAATGCACCCAGTGTAAGTACTCGAATTGGACCTGGCATCAGCCTCCTGCAGTCTCAGTACAACAGACCTCAGACTGAGGGAGAGTGAAGCAGCACAAGCAGCCAATTAGTTGTGCTGCAGTGCAAGATACATACTAATAGAAGGAGAGAGCAGAGTGACAGAGAGATGAGCTCATCTGTCTGCTGCTTCTCCTTTCAGTGTCCAATCACAGGCTGGGGGAGGGACAAGACCTGTAAGTGTTACTGAACCACAGCATAGAAGAACCAGGGCTGCTCCCTTGCCAGACTGGGCTGTGCTATGTGACTGAGGTGAGTAAATCTCAAAAGTGGATGGACAGAAATACAATCCCTAGCAGGGCAAACAGTTCCCATATATGTATTCCATGTATGTATTTAGCTGTGTGCCGGGAGTTCAGCTTTAAATTATATCTACAATGAAATATCTCATACAGCACAGACATGGTAATATAGCACAGC